TAAAACTGTGGTCCACCTTTTTAGATGTGCAGGTCACATCTTTTTTTTTATTCAAAAAATTTTCATGTCAATTTGCTTATTGTTATCGTATTTACAAAGTTATGAAGCTTGTTTTTACATTGTCTATAGGAATTCCATTTTTTTCTGGTTTTTTTTAAGTGCAGTCTTTACTTCGTTCGCTTAAAAAATTCTTTAGGTAACTGACATTTTTTTTTAATAGAAAGGTTTATTTGGCTTCATAACTTTATTCTTTGAGACTTAACCTTGATTTGTGCAAAATTTGGGTTTAGAATAACCAGTTTCAAGGGCTAGACATCTATTTAAATATTTTATAATATTCAATAGGTATTTACAGATCAAACAAACGTCGATTCCAATTAAAAAATGCCAATAGAATACGTCTTGAAAAACACCAAAGAAATAAATTATTAAAAGAACATTCTGCATCCACTAATGAAGTATCTACCAATGAAGTATTCATTAACGAAATATCCAACAACAGAGTATGCACCGCTAATGAAGAGATGTTAATTGATGAAACAATAATTACACATAAAGAACATTTACAGTGAACTCGTTTAACTTCAATGATACAAGAATTATCTGAAAAGGATCTATTACCAGCGATCAATCTTGTCTCAATCATGCGATATCCGAAGGGCCAAAGTATAGGAAACATAATTTCACCATATTTACAATGAAAAATATACGATTACCTTATACAAAATCTTTTTAAGCGTCATGCAAGTTATCAATCTTTACAAAAATCAAATATAATGTTAGAAAAAAAAAATAAAAAACTTTATCAGCAGAATAAGGCTCTTATTAGATGAACTCAATCTCTTGGTGCTAAAACTCAGCACCTTCAGGATCAAAAATCGCAGCATATTTCAGAAATCCGTTCTTTAGTTTCAAAGAAAATCACTGATGAAGAATTTCGTGAAAAAGTTAAATCGATTTTTATGTCAAATAAAAAATCACATTTTTAAAATACAATTTGGCTCGCAACGAGCATTCTACAAGTTGGCCAGACATCATTACACTCCACCATTGAATGTATGCGATTAATTTATGAATTCCTAACTGGAGAACCCCCTCAAAAAATGTTATCAATAT